ACCTCTTGAAAGATAGTGTGTATTGTATGGTATATTAAATGTCACAAGTAGCCATACGTAAATGCATATGAAACTGAAGTGTATGAAATATTCTCTAATACTGTATTGCTTCTGTATTGACTGTATCACTGTTATGCTCACTCTTTGAACCTGTTCCACATCTTAGTTCAGTAACAACCATTTCTGGAATTAAAAATGCTATGCATATTCCCATACAGTTTTATCGTGTAAATTGTATATGTATCCCTATTAGTATCTATGTTTTTTTGTTTTTAATTCCACCTCATCACATTTGATTTGTTCAAGCCTTCCTGTTACCAGATTATTCCTTATGTGCTCTTCATTAGTAAGATTATGTATACATGTAGTTACTAATTTGAGGATCCTCTTTCCCTTTTCTGGTGTTACATTCTGCATCCCTGATTCTGCTTGCTGCCTTGAAGTTTTTTGCATTTATAGCATGAAAGCATTTGTGTACGTATTACCTCTAGTTTCCACCCATCAGCTTCTTAGTTACTTGTGATTTATGTTATTTTTATTTCACAACTAATCCACAAGTTAGGGATGAAACTTGAGGCAACGTTTCAATCTGTTTTAGACTACTATAAAGTCACTTGTGATTTGATTATGGTCCGGCGTGGACCAAAATGACTTTGGAAGTTTTGTCTTTAATTTATAAGTTAGTTGTGAATTGTTTCAGCTATAGCTTTGTGACTTATTCTTTATAGTTTTATTTATTATGTACAGTGGCAGCCTTCAAATCAGTTTTCTTATTTTTATGGGGACTTTATAAACATTATTTTGCCAACCATGTCTGCTTCTGAAATTATTTAAACCACACTGAAGAGTGTCACTGATATGTTAATCAACACTTAGCATATCTTCAATTTATACTTTTGTTTCTGTTGTATGAATGGTCATGTTGTGTAGTGATTGTTCCCTTGAATTTTAGTTTAATATATTATCATTGTCTTTCTTTAAAGAAATATTTAAAGTATAGTAAGCATTCCAAACAGGTTACACTTCAAGGGATGGGGGGGGGGGGGGTGCCTTGATGCTGGTGAAAGACTTGATCCAAGGAATTGAAGCTACTTCCCTTCTTCTTGGGATCAAATGTGATTAGTTACTATTTCTCAGTTGCTGTATAATCCATTAGGGTTTAGTGCTTTCCTTTGAATACAAGCAAGGTATGCATAACATTAGTATCAACTTCCTGAAAACTTTGCACATTTCTCTTGATCTCTGGAACATGTGGAAGGTGTTAGGTAAATGGACACAGTGCAACTAATGTGACATTTTATTGTGGTAACATTTCACTCTCCAGAAGCTTTGTCCAGCCAGTAACGGCTTGACAAAACTCCTGCAGAGTGAAACGTTGCCACAATAAAATGTCGTGTTAGTTGGATCTGTGTCTGTTTACCTAAAATTTTGTCGGTAATCCTATCATTACGTATTATGTAGAGGGTGCCTTTTCTTGTACCTGATGCTGTGCTAGAAGTAAGGCGGATTTCAGAAAGATGAACTGAGAGTAGTTTGACTGAAGGTAACAGGGACAAGACTATATAATCTAGATTAGCCCACTAAGACCACACTGGAATGATCTCGAGATAGTATTGGCACTTCAGAAACAGTGGTTGACTAGTGTACTGTACTTGATCGTGCTAGACTGAGGAAAGATGCCTATCTGATGCAGGGGTTTCTCTGAAGCACACTCGTAAACTAGAATGGTGTAAACAGCCTTGTCAGACTTGGATGTCTGGACGAGGAAATTGTCTACCATTGGTCATAAATAACTCCACTTAGGAGAAGAAAGTTATGAGGATGTTTTGGTCTGTCAAGTAATATCAAGTGTGACTTAACAGTGGTACTGGATAGAATGAATCAACGTCATAAGCTTCCTTTTCTAAGTGAGGGTTACTTGTGATTTCCTCCAGCCCTGGTATTGTGACTTCTTAGTCTTTAACCACTACAGATATGATAATTCCTGAGATATTATGTTACATATGTTCAGGAAGGGAAATAATTTGTCCATTTTTCCTAGTCACTTAGGATTGGATGCCTGGACTTGGTGCCATAAGTTCTGTTTAGCTATGGATGCCCGACATGGTTGGCAATGCCCTATTTGTTGCTGTATGATTATAAGATTTGCATTATTTTGAATTGAACATATTTAAAAAAAAAAAAAAAAAGTCTAATGAACACTGGTCAGTGGTATCAGCAAACTCACATCCATGGAAAAAATGAGAAGATAAGAGTACTGTGTACCTGGGTCTATCACTGGCTGAAGGAGATCTCAGTAATTGACTGAAATATACAATACTCTGAATAACAAAAGTGTAATGAACACTTGTCAATGCTCAGTAATAACCCACATGGAGACAGAAACTCAGGAGATTGATTAATCTGTATATTTAGACCCCCTTTCAGGATCCTCTTCAGCAGATCTGCTCTAGAGGATCAGATGAACAGATCTGCTGAAGAGGATCCCAGAAGGGGGTCAAAATATACAGATCAATCAGCTTCTTGATTTTCTGTCTCCATATGGGTTATTATTGAACATATACTCTGCTTATCCTCTGACTGTGGGTTTATTTGTACCATTATGTTCCATGTTTCACTTTCTTTTTTCAAAGGGATGCCACTCCGTAAATAGAAAAGAGGAATTATGACAGGATTTCATTTTATAGGTCTTCAGACTATGAGAGAACAGTTGTCAAAAGACTTTATTACACTTCT